TGAAAATATGCGAGGTGGCGGTACTTGGAGTGTTGAATAGATGTACGAATGGACACACAGACAGATGCATAGATGGACCCATGAACGGACGCAGGGGCGGATGCATGGACGAACGCAGGGACGGACGCATGAACAGACGCACGCGTGGACGGGCGGATGAACGGTCACACAGACGGACGGAAGCAAGAACGAATGGACGGACGAATGCTTCGCCTCACTCTCCATCATTCACTCCGTGGATATGCTGCCATTTTTTTTTTTCATATAGAAACTCGCTAGCAGACGTTGCCTGCGTCGGCGTTGCGAAATGGGGAGCGTAGGAGTGGAGGGGGCGCGCACGCGCAATGGGGGTGTAAACGCCGTGGGAGGAGTGAGAGGGAAAGAGCGTTGTAGAGAAGACGCGCATGCGCAGTAAGGGTGGTCACGCCGCACACCGAATTGAGCTCAACCATGAGACGCTTCGCATCTAAAAAGCTAGTTCCGCAGTGGGGCGTCGAACCAGCGACCTCGCGCTGAGGCGCGCGTGATGCCAACCGCTACACCACAGAACGTCCCTTCTCCGCCATGCTAAATGCAAGCCATTTATATACACTAGTTTCATACAAGAATACCTAGGAGGGAATCTGGCGCCAGGGTTCACGCGGGTTTAAAACCCATATATTTTGAAAGCGACTCTCTCCCCCGCGCGCGCGTATTCCTCCAATTTTTGCCCCCTCCGGGCCGGCGCGGCCATGAACCCTCCACTTGCTCGTTATAGCCGCATTAGAATCGATGGGCGCGCTTGTTTATTCAGCTCCTTGGCGCATTATACGAGGTTTTGCGACTTGAAAGAAAAAACACCTAGACGAAAGTAGGATTCAGGTAGAACACAGTGGCCGACATATTTTTGATGCGCTTCGATAAATATAAGCGGAAGCACTTAATGAGTACCAACTATCGGCTGAGCAGCTTACCCAGTCCAGCAGCGAAGATAGCCGCACGAGGAGACGAGGTTTTCCACCTGCGGGTAAAGGCTTGTCTTACAAGCAGAAGAGTGTTTACCACCCGTGGTCGAAGTCGTGTTCTGCAGTCGCAGCGCATGAGTGGCCGACGTGTTACCGGTTAAGTTTTGTTATTGAAGTGCGGACATTTGACGACGCGAGAGTTTCCTGGAAGAAAAACTTCGGGCGCAACGGGACAAGTGTTTTCTTGAAGAGAATAATTCAAGATTTGTTCCAAGAATTTTGGACTAAACACGTTTGACGAACATTTTGGTCCAAGCATCTTGGTTAGTTAATGCACGAGATTGCATTGTAGCATTGTTGTGTCAGTTGTCTTGAGCATACCTTGTGTAGTCAGTTTTGAGTATTTTGAGTGATTGTTGACGTATTGTAGCCGATTGTTTATGCTCATGCTTGTGTGTTTGTTCTGCCGTATTGGAGAATATCTGGTTTGTTATAAACTCTCTGCTCTGTCTTGTTCATTGGACCACAGCGGGCATCTGCTGGTGCACTAAAAGGGACCAATTCTAAATTGTCCATGATTGCGTGGTGCGTTTGAGGGGGCCGACACTGGCGCCTTTGGAATCAGCCCAGCGATTACCTCACTAATTAACGGGACAAGTGACACCAACCATAATAAAGTCGATAGGCTCTTTTATCTGCAGGTACTATTGCAGCAAGCTCTAGTTTCATTTCGAGTCGATGAAATAGGCGCACAATGTCGCAAACGATGAAAACCGTCAATGATGAGGAGCAATCCAATGGTGGCGAGAATGCAAAGCTTACTACTGTCTGCGAAAAAGCTGGCTGCAGTGGCAATACTAAAACTCCAAATTTGAAAATGTCTTCTACATGCCAACACAGCGATTCGATTGTGACGTACGTCATAGCGTGGAATAACTTTGACTGTCTGATGATCTTTAGCATGCAGTGAATACATAGAACCTAAGCATTAGTACTACATGTCACTCCCATCGAAATTTGGTAGGGGTTCAATGCCAATATACAAATTAACCACAAACATTTCATGTGTGAAAGGCACAACATTGTTTTTATTGTAATGAAATGCTTCCGAAACCAAACCAATAAACAAACCTTTTTGAAGTCCTGTGTGCAAACACTGTTAGAAAACAGACACCTGTTACAACCTATAAACACACATACTTGTGTGCAGACACACCCACACATGCACGCTTGCATGTTCAATACCAGTGCCACTAATTGATCAGTTCGGCTTTACCCCTCCCCCTCTTTTTGGAGCACCCAATAAGATCTTGCAACCCATAGGAATTGGGTACACTCAACTGGTATCACAGTCAGAAGCTACAGCAACATCTTTCAATAGAAAAGTCAGAACACAAAGGAAACTTTCACAAACTGCAGATCTGCTTGGGACCTTCAGCACACTGGCACTCACATTGTGCCTTTTGAAATTGAAGTTCGGACACACAACAGCAACATTCAGAAAAAAAAGAAAAACAAAAAAAGAAAAGACAGCAGCACTAGGCTGTTATTTCATGGAAGCCTCAAAGTATAGAACCTAGGGGTTTTACTTTGTGTCTTTTGACAATGAAATTTCGGCACACAACAGCAACATTCAGAAAAAAAAAAAGGCACACAACAGCAACATTCAGAAAAAAGAAAAAAAAAAGAAGAAAAGACAGCAGCACTTGGCTGTTATTTCATAGAAGCCTCAAAGTATAGAACCTAGAGGTTTTACTTTGTGTCTTTTGACATTAAAATTCTGGCACACAACAGCAACATTCAGGAAACAAAAGAAAAAAAAGAAAAGACAGCAACACTTGGCTGTTATTTCATAGAAGCCTCAAAGTATAGAACCTAGAGGTTTTACTTCGTGTCTTTTGACATTGAAATTCCGGCACACAAGAGCAACATTTGGGAAAAAAAGAAAAAAAAAGAAAAGACAGCAACACTTGGCTGTTATTTCATAGAAGCCTCAAAGTATAGAACCTAGAGATTTTACTTTGTGTCTTTTGACATTGAAATTCCGGCACACAACAGCAACATTTGGGAAAAAAAAGAAAAAAAAAAGAAAAGACACAACACTTGTCTGTTATTTCATAGAAGCCTCAAAGTATAGAACCTAGGGATCTTACTTTGTGTCTTTTGACATTGAAATTCCCGCACACAACAGCAACATTCAGAAAAAGAAAAAAAAAAGAAAAGACAGCAACACTTGGCTGTTATTTCATGGAAGCCTCAAAGTATAGAACCTAGAGGTTTTACTTTGCGTCTTTTGACATTGAAATTCCCGCACACAACAGCAACATTCAGAAAAAGAAGAAAAGAAAAAAAAAAGAAAAGACAGCAACACTTGGCTGTTATTTCATGGAAGCCTCAAAGTATAGAACCTAGAGGTTTTACTTTGTGTCTTTTGACACAGAAATTCCGGCACCCAACAGCAACATTCAAAAAAAAAAAAAAAAAAAGAACAGCAGCACTTGGCTGTCATTTCACGGAAGCCTCAAAGTATAGAACCCACAGGTTACAGGTTACGAGTAAATAGTGCCAAAATACACTTTAAGAACAGGTGGTACAAGAACGACAAGGCAGAGGGACAACCGCAAACAGGTCTCTTAACACACAACATCACCCAGACCGCACTATGAAACAAGCATGTCGGGGGGCCCAAGTTGACTGCTTCCCTCCTCTTGCTGGCGACTGCACTAAAGATAGCACTGGGTGCACTAGCTAAAGCACATTCGCTACCACTCACAAAGCAATTATAGTTAACAAGAGAACCAAACTGACTGTTAGTTGAACAGCAACAAATTATCACACACCAGAAACTTTCATACAATGTGCATTACTCACAAACCTGAACAAATACAGAAAGAATGACAAAGTTAAAACGTGCGAACTATTTACAAAATGTTGCCAAAACTGCATCTGTAGTTTGACACACAGATTGTCGCACCAAAAGCAGAGCATGGCTCAAATGGCAGAGCCACCTAGAAAAATGTCAAGGCCTCCAAATCTCCTTCAATGCTCAATACATCATGACAGTGAGATGACAGCAGCAGATGGGGGAGAAACGCCGCCAAACGACGCACCCCGCATCGTGAACAAAGTATCTTTCTCTGCAATTGCGACACAACAAACTTGTCCAGCGTTGGGGAAAGAAAAAAGCTTTCTCCATGACTGCAATGCTACAGCGGCCGCATGCAGAGCATGCTGCATCACATATGTGCTTGCTTTCTACATGTATGCGTGGTTAGTCATTCCCACGGTCATCCACTAAAGCACAGATGCCTCCATGGCTGTTGCTGTCCACCAAACTGCATACCAAATTATGACTGAGGACCAAATCTTCGAGTGACCAGGTTTCCTTCCGACCCAACGAAGCGGGCATTGTGAACCAGAACTAACCTTGAAAGGACTTGTCAACCAAGTGATACGCGATACATTTATGATTGAATGTACACCAATAAAATAAACCTTGATAGTTCTGTGTATAGGCCTGTTTTATAGAATGCAAGAGTGAACACAACCACTGGAAATACGATTAAACTAACTGTTTTTACCATTTGTCATTACAGAATACTTTGTGACCCCCCCCCCCCCCCCCCCCCCGGCGAGGTCCCACCTGTGTTTTTCAGGTGTACATGTGCATACATAGGCGCACATGTGCAAACACATATGAACGTAAATAAGTTACGACCGAAATAGCCTCCTCCCTCACACACCACCCCCGCTCACAAAATCTTTCGGGGGGAGAGGGAGGTGATTTTGGTTATAACTTATCTAGGTTGGTATGTGTTGGGGGGGGGGGGGGTCACACTGCTTGAGTTACATAGGCAATAAGCTGGTGGAGATACATAAATTCAAAAAAATATTTTTCAAATAAAAAAATACTCCTTAGTAACTTCACATATTATCTAATAAATGGGGCTTTCAAATAAGATATTGTGCACATTTTCAGTCCGACCACCAAGGCAAGTTTTTTGACGCTGAATAGAATGCTTTTCCCCAAAAAGGTGAAATTCACAATTTTTTTCAGACTATCCCCTATAACTTCAGTGACCAAATTATTTTTACTTTGCAGCATGTTAAATAGGCCACCAGCACATATTTTGTGTCCTTTGAGCTTGCGGTGTTCCCCCCAAAAATGCCAAATTTGGCAACTTTATTCAATATTACTCGTGGGCAAAGCCCGCCCTCGAAGAATTAAATCTGTATAAGACATTACTTTACAGCTAGGTCACTTCATTACCTTGCCGTAAATACAATTTTGTCAATTACAAAAACTATTTTGAAAAAAAAAAAGTTTGATGCTCTCTAGCTCAGTCGGCGCCAAACTACAGACTCTCATAAATAGGGCGGGAAATTTTTGGCAACAGAAATAAATGAGCAGGGTGCGTTTTGAATTTAACATGTGGAAATTTTTTCAGTCATATTCGTGGTGGTAGGAAAAACACTGATTTGGCATGCAATGACCCACCTGTCTCCATGCGACCGGGGACAAGCCCATCAGAACTTTCTCACAACTGCAAACTGGAGAGAGAACTAGAGAAGCGTCCAGAAGTTTTCTGGCACAATTTCAGGCATGGGTCCTCAAAGAGCTCGTATGAAAGAGTCTTTGTATATATAGTCTGGTCAGCATGCAAAAAGGTTCCCCCCGCCTGGTTTGGGATGCGATCACTTGAGCGGGCAGTTAATTCTTATTCCTCCGAGTCAAAGGTCCTGACATCACTTAAATTAGAGATTGTAATCAGTGGGACATTTATGAAAATGATGCCTGGTTGGGACGGTGATGTGGGCGAAGCTTATTTATTTTTAGACTGTAATCATTTACAGTTAATTAATCTAAGGAAAGAGTAAGAGAATGATGCTGCTTATGATGGGATACAAGGTCGTGAACCAGTGCGAAGGACTAATATTTTTCCATTAGTTATATGTGTCTGACGTTGGGACCAGAGCATATAAATTGCTAGGTTAAAAAAAAAGACAGCGCTAATTTTCTGAAGTCTCAAATAGCGACTTGCAATGGGACTGCCTACAAGCACAATAAGCCTAGATGCGCCGAAGCCAACGGTTAGGCCCATCTCACTGGCATGATGTTACACCGGAGTTTGGAGGCCTTCATATTTTTTCTAGATGTTTTGCACGTGCACTTCCCTGCATGTAATCTGGTTAAAAATACACATCCCCTTCAGAGAAAAAAAACGCATTCCCAATGCAAAAAAAAAAAAAAGCAACTATGGTAACCTTACAGCAGTAACATTAAAATTCTCACTGGGCTCTTTCAATGCCTGCTTCACCAATTTGCACTGCATCAAAGACCTGCTTTTTTTTTTTTTAGCACTCAGCAGCTTTCATGCAAATATTCCATCAATCAATTAATTAGTGTAGTAGATAACCCTACCTGAAATGACTAGAACCACTGGGGGAGTCATTACTCACTACTCCATATGATGCAACCCTCTCCTGCATTTATGAAAACCTTTGGATATCCAACTTCCTCTATTACCAAAGCTCAGTTAATGGCACAAACACAGACACCCTCGAGGTCAAAACTAAAAACTCCATCGGCAGGCGCTACTTTCTCGGACTGTAAAGGTTAATGCCAATGCAGGCTACGTCAAGAAGCGTGCACAGGCGAGAAAATAAAACATTCTATAGTGCTGCCCTTTTCACTCATGACAGTGTTGATTTACTGACATCCACCATGAGTGAGACATACAATACACTGCTGTCTGAATTTCCCCGTTAAATAAATAAAGCCCCCATCCCAAGCCTCTTTAGCAGCTTCTTTGGCTGGCAGTAGTGTCTCCCCCCTCCCTCCCGAACTTTGTCACATGAAAAAGCATGTCAAACCTGGTGTGTCAAACCAGCACATTAAGAACAAGATAGTACAAGCACAAGATAAAAGTATGTAATGCACAAAAACCTACTGTCCTGTAGGATAGAAAATTAAAAAAACTTTAGAGCTGCATTTTAAACCACTTGTACAACCAGCTTAAAAAGAGGGACATGTGAAACAAGGCATTTCTTTTGCCAACAAACCTTCCATGAGCATACTGTTGCCATCCACAAACCCTTGAGGCGTGCTAACTACTTGTAACAAGACCCACCAACTCTGGTGAATTGGTAACCCTTCCTTCAGCCTCAATTCAATAGTGTGCCTTGAAAAAAGCACTTGGTGTTGCGCAGCTCACTTGGGGGTTCTGCTTCCATAGTTAGGGCAGAAAATTGACTGTGACTTCAGTAGTAAGTGGAACACACAAAGGTTCCATCATTGCAATTTGTGGGAACACTGTCGGTCAGTCCATCATAGGGGATGCTGCAGCTGGCACAGTTGGCGGCGCCAGGTTTGTTGTGATGCTCAGGTGACCGGGTGCGACTGGAGACACCACAGGTGTTGCTGAGGCAGGGCCCTTGGAGAACCGCTCCTGTGATGACGTGCGCACACGGGCCTGGTTTGAGGAGGGGAAACTCTGCACAATACAAATGAGTTTCAGTCACAAAGAGGAAAGAAATCACTACTAGGGCAGTTGCAATGCCTCACTCACAGCAGGGTGTGGCGGCAGCATATTTACTGTGGGCGGAGATGGGGAAGGCAGCAGGAATGCAGATGGCGGTGCTGTAGGCCCACTTGCATGAAACAGGGACTGTCCACAAGTCTGGCAGCGATTTAGAGACCCAGATGGGCTTAGAGCCTCCCGAGACAGATTGCCCAGCACACCACTAACTGGAAGACCTGTAACATGTAGCAAAATGCCTTGGCTTAATCCTCTAAAGAAGTGCGAATCACAGGCAAAAACAAATGACAATAAAGAAAGAAAACCTTCTGCCCGCTATGTCACAGACAATTGAATGATAGGGTTACTCACTCAACAATACCTTACGCTTGGCCCCTTAAGATTACACTGAAAATGCTTGACCTGGTGTCTTGAAACTAAGAAAACAAGCAAAGAAGACACGGCACCTGGACTAAGAGGCCTTGAGGAGTTTGGAGACGGATTGTAAGGAATTGGGCTTGACACAGTTCTGGGCCGCATGCCGTGTGCCATTTCATTGAAGTGCCTAGAAAGAGAACAATTTCAAGTTAAAATGTGGAAAAAAAAAAGTTAAGGCTGTTCATCCCAACACACAAGGCAAATGCTTAAACTTTCTATGACTATTTGCCCTAATCTTCTGAACAAACTCGCATATAAGTACCATCGCCTTCAGCTTTTTAACCCTGCTAGTACGACAAGGTAAATTTTCTTACAGGTGGAGAGACAAAATTTTTTTTTATAATTGGAGCTTATTTGGCACCAAACTATTTGAACAGTTCTAAAAGAACTAAAAACATAACGAACTCACTAAGCCTTCTTTAATGCTTAAAAATCCAGCCTCTAGTTATCAAATGCCAATTTAGTGCTGGCCATAACGCTACAGCTTACAATTCAATTTGGCCAACAACAAGCTGGAATACAGTCAGGCTTGTTCGTCTGTGATCATGCTTGAATGCAGACATGCGTCGACAAGTTTTTTCGGCCACTCGGCCACTGGGCCAATAAAGGCATTTTTTTTTTCTTCTGGTCAATCCTTTCTTTCAAACTCGATTATTCAGACAGACTTTTCGGCGGTTCCCGCCGACTCTGAATAAAAGATTGGCCATTGTAATTCTTTCTACGTGCTGTTACAAAGCAGTAACGAAGTCCTTGGGCCAGCTGCCCCCAAGCGTGACTTCCAGCCATCTCGGACATTTTTTTATGGGGTACGGATTTGTCACCTGCACCGGCTGTCTGTCTCGGCTGTGCGTTTTGCCGGCGGAGAAGTGGCTATGAGCAGGCCCCTCTGGAATGTGCGGAAGGCCGGTTGTGTGCTGCAGGGGCGACTGCAGCGAATTCCTCCTGCGTGGTCGCCCCGAGTTCCCGCGCGTGTGCCACGTGTGTCTGCCACGCGCGTGAAGGGATACTTGTGTTGTGCTCTTCATGAGTGGTTGGTTCCCCGAAGTGACATTCCGCCCTTATCTTCGGAACTGCACAGCGAGGCAGCAGGAGCAGCACGGCAGAAGGAACGAAGAGAGAGACGCGAGAAGAGTCGTCGTTCCGACGTTACTGTCCGACATGTTGTAAATAAATGTCTTGTTAAGTTTTCCTCTACGCCGGTCCCTCTGCCTCAGCTTTCTGGAGTTCTGAATGTCCCCGTGGCCTGCGGAATGATGACCACCACCCAGCTCCACGCTACCTACTAGGTCCGCTGGGGCCACCGACGCGGCTCGTAACAGTGCATAGTTAAAAAATGAAGAAACGAGCTTGTAATAGGTATCTCAGGCCACGTTTACTATATGCATTCGTTTTTTTTTTTGTCTTGCTACTGGTGAAACCCATAAGATGCATACAAGGCCCGTGTGCTCAGATTTGGGTGCACGTTAAAGAACCCCAGGTGGTTGAAATTTCCGGAGCCCTCCACTACGGCGTCTCTCATAATCATATGGTGGTTTTGGGACGTTAAACCCGACATATCAATCAATCAATAAGATGCATACAGTAGAACCCCGATTATACGACTTCCAGGGAACCACGCAAGATTCGTATAATAGCAAAATTAAGATTATAAGGCAGTGACACTCAGCCTTGCCCCCCCCCCAAAATACAGCTACAAACTGCCTGAATAAGCCCACTGCACGACCTTGTGCCTCTGTAAGGAAGCTGCATTAAATTATTCTCGCCGGTGGCAGCATTACTTAGTTGAAAATAGTGCGAGCAAATATTTATTCTAAATCTTACAAAAAAAAATCCAACACGCATCTTTCTAACGACAAAAAATAGTCTGGAAATTGCCTGCGATTGAAAATGAAACCGAAACAGTGTTGCCAACAACCTCCCGTAAGAAGAGTATGACAGTGTCATCGTTATCACATAATGGCGACGGACCACAAGTTTGCATAAAAGGCCTTTATGCGAGACTGAGCTGTGCATTTTCTAATTTGTTGCCTTGTGAAGTGCAGCTAGTGTTCTATACGGACGTTCCCTTGAAAGTGTGCACTTAGCAACCAAATTGTTTGAGTCTATTTTCATTGAAGAGTGCTAACAACCCCTCCAGTGAAAGGTTAGGCCTATTTACATGTTAAGGGGAGACGCGGGTCGAAAAGTCGCGTTTTTTTTCCAAATTTCACCTTTTCTGTTTTTTGTTGCTTTATCATCTTTATACATTATATTTTGACATCTGAAAATATCACAGCGAAATAAGCATCAGAAGTCAGTGAAAAACGCGTCTGAGTGAGCGGCAGTGACGCGCGGCATCACGAAATTTACACAAAACGGGCTGCTGTTCGCGTGCTCGCGGGGCCGCGAAGAGAGCTGTCCGCCATATTGCGGCCGCTGGCTCGTGTAGAGTTGTCCTTACTCTCCACGATCCCGGTTCTTGAAGTCTCGTACGTTCACGAAAAATCTAAAAAAAAAGCAACAAAAACAGTCTTTTCCCGCCGTTTCAAACCGCGCGCCACTAACGCAGGGCCGCCATTGGCTGACAGCACCCGTGTTTTCTTGCCGTAGTTCGTTTCACTGTTTTCCGGAGTTATTTTTCGCTGTTTTCGTGCGATGGCAAGCCCGAAAAAGGCCGTTGCCGACCATCGGAAATACAGAAGTAAGAACAAGTTCAGAGGGAAGCGGCGGAGGACGTACAAGAAAGCCACCGCCAACGAAAATGTCCGCGACGGGCCAGCGGCCGGTAGGCCTAACATCGACCACGGCAACGTCGACCATGGCAACTGCGACGACGAGATCAACGCTGCAGTGAATTTTGTGAGTGCATCGCAGAAAAAGATCGCGTTATTCGAAAACGACGTCAGGCCGAATGCCGATCGTGCCGAAAGCGTAGTGCTGTGCGAGTTGGGTGCATTGACGGCCGTCGTCGCAGGCGCGGCATGCCCCGTTTGTCACGAGAGTAAACTCGCAGTTCGGGCACCGAATAAAAAGCGGAAAGGCCTTTCGGCGTTTCTGGAGCTACACTGCGAGAATGCGGAGTGCTCGGAGAGCATCCTTTCGTCCGCGTACTCGTCGAAGCGGGTCGCGTCAGATGGCGGCCGCGGTGCAAGCAGAAGCTACGACAGCGGGAGTTCGCGTGACGCCTTTGCCGTGAACCTGAAAGTGGTGCTTGCAGCGCGTGCCGTCGGTATCGGGCATGAGCAACTTTCACGATTTTGTGCAGTAGTTGGATTGCCAAACCCTATGCACCATAAGACCTTCCATGCTATCGGCAAAAAGATTCACAGTGCGGCAGTGAAGGCTGTCTGTGAAAACATGCAAAGGGCACGCAGCGTCACCAAAGAGGTGGCTGGTAACAGTGACGTGCCAGTCATGTTTGACGGCACATGGCAAAAAAGAGGCCACAAAAGCCACAATGGTGTGGGAACTGTAGTGTCCTTGGACACTGGTTTGTGCCTGGACTATGAAGTGCTTTCCAACTTCTGCCTGGCGTGCAGTTTGCATAACGACATGGGAGGCGATGAAGAAACATGGCAGGCGTTTCATCATCCCGTTTGTGAGAAGAATTGCGACTGTTCTTCGCATGCCATGGAGGCCGAAGCTGCAGTGCGCATTTGGCAGAGGACTGTGGACTATGAGACACCCCTGCGGTTCACCATCTTCCTAAGCGATGGAGACAGCAAGGCCTACAACGGGGTCTGTGATGCCAACGTGTACCCTGACACTCCAATTGAAAAAGAGGAGTGCACCAACCACGTGGCGAAACGTCTGGGCACCGGCCTGCGGAAGCTGCCAACGCCACTTCCACGAGGGGAGAAGCTGAAGGAGACCACCATCCAGAAGCTTCAAACTTACTTTCAGGTGGCCATTGTGAACAATCGGGGAAATGTCCACAAGATGTACACTGCCATATGGGCCTCATGTTTGCACTCGTGCTCAACAGACGGTGCTGGAAGTCACAAGTTCTGTCCTGCAGGCCCAGACTCGTGGTGCAAGCACCGACGTGCTGAGGCGCAGGGCCAGCCTGCACCGTGCCACACCCCCCTCCTGACCAAGGCCCAGGGTTTGGCAGTCCTCCCAATCTACAAGCGTCTCACAGATGCGAAGCTGCTTGCCCGGTGCCTCCACGGCAAGACACAGAACGCGGCCGAGTCCCTGAACAGCAAAATATGGCTGCTGTGTCCAAAGACCCGGTTTGCTTCCCGGACTGCTGTGGAAACAGCCACAGCCATTGCAGTCCTGTGGTTCAACCGGGGCCACGCGAGAAAAGGTGCTGGAAGAGCTTGGGGTGCTTCCTTCGGAGGCCCTGGTTACCCTCAGCGACCGCCGAGACAGCATGCGCATGCACAAGATGAATGTGCGTCAGACCGCTGAGGCGAGGGCACACCGTCGCAGTGCAGCCAAGAGGGCCCGGGTGGAAGAGTCCTGCCGCACCAGCCGGGAAGGGAAAACCTACGGTGCTGGAGAGTTTTAGACAACTGATATTCCCTCTGGACATGTGTGTATGTGTTCAGCACAAGTTTCGTGCTACTTGCGTTTTTCATTTTTGTAAATACAGACTTTCAAACTTTCAAACGCGTTTTTCTCATTTCGCAATTTTGGCCAATTTGCATTTTTTGCGGGAAGTGTTTCGGGCACTTAGAATGGTCATACGACGACGAAATTTGGCACACACATTGAGGAGAGTGCGTAGGGTGCCGATATCTACTTGAATCAGCACAACCTATCAGCTGTAAATATCTATTCATAAATTTAATGGTGGTCGAGTGGAAAAAAAAGGGTAGTTTGCTACACAGATGTTTTTTTCATAGTTTCAAAGTTGGAGCACAATTTCTAGCTAGATATCGGCACTCTATGGCTAATAGGGAGCAAAAGGAGCCATTGAACAACTCTCTGCATGAACATTTAGTATGCGCGAAAGTTCCCGGAAAACTTATCAAGTTTCACCATTACTTGAAACACAACTCCCAAACTATTGCACTTATGTAAAAACTGATTACAGATTTGGAATCAGGAGGAAAAACTGCATCAGTGGTCCAATTTCTGAAGCTCTAAGTTGAATAACAAAAAAAAAGTGCTTTCGAGGAGCGTCTCCCCTTAAGCGAC